CGCGCCTCGCCTCCTCGCCTCCTCGCCTCCTCGCGTCCTCGCCTCCTCGCCTCCTCGCCTCCTCGCCTCCTCGCCTCCTCGCCAGCCCCCGAGCCCGGCGGTTTTCTGAGCAGTCGGGATTGTGCTCACCAACTCGCTTAACTTCCTGGAGCAGACCTGTTCCCAGACCACGCCCAAAGGGCTGGTAATAGGGCCACACCTTCTGATGAGGCTTGATTTTTAACAAGGTTCTAAACCTTAAGCCACCAAGTGAAGCCCAAATGGTAGAAATTTTGCCAATAGCCTGGGGAGAATTTTAGGGACAAAAGGTTCTAATCAGTCCCTTTCTAGTCTTGCAGGAGAGGTGAGGGCCAAGGGTGTTTTCAGCCACTAGCAGGTTTTTTAAAGCCCTGTGGCTTACTCTGACCCTATTTCTTAAAAATCCAGAAAAGCGGCAAAAGTATGGGGGAGAGGAGCAATAAGAAGTCATATTGGCTGGGCACTAGATGCTTTCACCTACGTTATCTTATCCAACTTCACAACAACCCTAGCAGGTTGCTATGTGTTTTTCTATTTTACAAATGTGAAAACAGGCTCAGACAGATCTAGTAACTTGCCCAAGGACTCTCAGTGACTGGGGTCAGGCCAGAACCCATGACCGGGTGTCCCTAAGGCCTTTACTTCTTGACCCTGAACCCTGACATCTTAATAGGCACCCTGCTCTCCTTTAATGAAGTGCCACTCTATCCCGACCACGTTAACCTTGCTAGCATCTTTTTGTTTATTTGCTTTTAACCTTCTCCTCCTCTCCCTTCCTTAGGCCTCTGTTACTTAGAGACCTAGCACTAGAGAAAGGAATCAGAGTTAAAAAAGATTGTAACCCTTATTGACCAAGCCTGTGTTTTCAATTTTGGTAGCCAGATAAAATACAGGATGTCCAGATAAATTTGAATTTCAGATCAAACACGAATTATTTAAATATATACTTATACTAAAGTATCACTAGGGTACTTATGCTAAAAAATTATTCATTGTTTTAAATGTGGTCTATACATGCAATGGAATATTATTCAGCCATAAAAAGGAAGGAGATCCTGTCATATACTACAACATGGATGAACCCTGAAGACATTATGCTAAGTGAAATAAGCCAGTCACAAAAAGACAAATACTGCATTATTCCACTTAGACAAGGTATCTAAAGTAGTCATATTCCTAGAGACAGAAAATAAAATGGTGGTTGCCAGGGGCTGGGAGGAGGAAGAAAAGGGGAGTTGTTTAATGGCTACAGAATTTCAATTTTGTAAGATTAAAAAGTCCTGGAGTATGGTTGCACAACAATGTGAATATACTTAACACTACTGAACTATACACTTAAAAATGGTAAATTTTATGTTGTGTGTATTTTACCACAATTAAAAAAAATGACTTCTGAAAAACTTTCTCCCCTAGTTACTCCCTACATCATTTTTTATATAGCAGTAACAACAGATGAAATGATCTTATTTATTTACACAGTTATCACTAGTCTCTTGCCAGACTAGAATATAAGCTCCACAAGGCCGGGTGTTGTGTCTGGCTTGTTTGCTGCTGTGTCCCTGGCACCTGTTACAGAGTTTGGCATATACTAGTTGCTCAATTAAATAAGTGCTGACTGAAGGAGTATGGCCAATCCTGCCACCTATGCTTTGGATTCTCTCCTGTAACTTAGAAAATTGATGATCACTCTTCTCTTGTATATTGAACGTCTTTCTCAATTGGATTTCTCCCACCAATTTCCCCACATACCCTCCCTCCCCTCCTCCCCTTCAAAGCAACATGAAAACCTATAAAACTGATTAGATTCACTGTCTTCATATTCTGCCCCTGCTCCTCAGTCCTTCCTATTCTATTTCCGCCTTCATTACTGCAGTGATACAGCTCTCACTGAGGTGACTGGTGACCTTCACATCACTAACCTGAAGGACGTTTCCTGTCCTTACCTCACTTGACCTCTCAACACCATCACTGGGCACTGAAATCTCTTTTCCTTTGGTTTTCTGAGACAAAACACCGAGTTTTCGTCCTAGCTCCCTAGCCATACCTTCTACTCCTTTGCAAGTTCATTCTCTACCGCATGTCCATTGAATGCTGGAACTCCACAACACTCAGTCCTAAGCCCTGTCTTATTCCAAATGCTGGACCAAGGCAGTCTCATCCTGCTTTAATAACCCCCTGCTTTAATAACCACTAAAATAGGCAGAGGATTCGTCTCTAGCCCGGCCCTCTCCTCTGGGCTCCAGACCAGTATTTCCAACTGCCCTACTTGACAGCCATTTGGATTTCTCAACTCAACACAACCCAAACTGAACTCATCACCTTCTACTCCCTATGTCTGAGTCTCTTCCAGTGTCCCCTATCACGTTACTTCCATTCATCAGTTACTACAATCTAGAAACCTAGAAATCATCCTCGATACTTCCCTCTCCCGAAACTCCAGATCTAAGGCATTGCCAACTCCTGTGTATTTTAGCTGCCAAGTATCTTTTGATCCCATCCACTTCATGGACCACCCTGTTCACCACCTCTTGCCTCAGTGCTTCACTCTCACTAATGTGACCTCTACACATCACTAAACCCAAAGTACATTTCCTGTCCCTACCTTACCAGCCAGTGATTGTTTTTAGACTCAATTCTTCTATCATCCCTCTTGCTGAAGGACAGTGATTTACCAGTGCTCATAGAATACTAAAATCCTTTACAGGACTTACCAGGCTCTGGGGTCTGGCCCCTACCTGTCTTAACTTCAGCCCTTCCCCTGCCCCTGGTAATCCTTCTCCCCATTATCATCTTTGCTCTGGTTATACTTGCTTTCTTTCACTCCCTTGAACTCCCCTTGGTGCTTCCTATATGGCCTTCGTACGTACTGTTTCCTCCGCCAGAAAGCGTTTCCAGTGAATCCGCCCAGCTAACGCCTGCTTTGTCTTCACCACCATCAGCTGTGTAATTTTGGAAAACTTAGCTTCTCTGCCTGATAACAGACCCTTCTTCAGAGTTGTTGAGAGGACTGAGTTGGTACTTCTCAAGTGCCCAGATCAGTGGCTGGCACTTAGTAAGGGCTCACTGCCAGCCCGATTATCACCTTCCTAACTAGGCCAATTTCCTCCATGAATTATCATTGTATACCTTTTTTTCCTAACATTTGTCATAACTTTTCTTTTACTTTTATTCTTCTGGGGGTGTGTATCTGTGTATGCACGCGTGCGTGTGCATAAGTATCCTGTGCCCTAGCACAGTACCTGGCATGGGACAGGGCGCTCAAGAAGTACATTTGACTGTTTCTGAAGGGCAAAATTCTTATTTATAAAAGACTGAAGACATGAAAAGGATACATATAGATAATAGAATCTGATCTTATTATGAGGAAAACTGTGCTGAAATCAATAATATGACATTTATAAATTCTTATATTTAGGTTTGAAAGTGTCAATGCCCAACTACTGGGTCAAAGAGAGCTGATGACAAAGGGAGCTGAGGCTGTGACTTGATCAGAAATCTAATTATGATGAAGCTGGTAAAATAAGTGAAACACTCTCCTCCACATTAGTAGAATTAAGTGTCCTGATAACTGAATGTGCCCATTCCATCATACCCAGAAACTAGTCACACCACACTCTATTCTTGGGGTCCTTGAAATGCATGAAGCCGACAGGAGCCAGGTCCAGGAACGACTTTATAGTCAGGATGGCTGAAATGCATGGAGTGTTCAGTTTGAGGAAGGATGCTGATAAAAATGGATCTGTCTCTTCTGTTATCTGGGAATAACAAAAAGTCTACTCTGAATTAAGAATAGTAATTTATAATGATGGTCCTTTAAGAGCAGTGACTTTTGTTCAATATTAAGAAAAGACCTGGTAACAACTAAAGCTATTCAACAAAGTAGAACAGGCTCACTTGGAGTGAGTGCCTCATCATTTGCTTCTCAAACTCTTCTGACTCCTACTCCTGCCGGAATGTTTCCATAAAATGGCCCGACTCAAAAGTCTGATTTTAATTTTGAAACCTTAGGCAAAATGTGTCCTTTACTCTGTAACACTTAGCCTTGTATTACCATAAAACTGTTTTACATCCCATCAAGTAAAACTGCTGTCCTGTGATGATGTACCTTGTTTAACTTGTGGCTTCACACAGTACTTGGCACAAGGGCCCATTTATCTTTGGGTACCACAGTTTGAAGAAAGAGAATTACTCAAAAAGGTGGATTGCAATTTGTTAGGGTAGGGAACAGGGATGTTGTGCAGGGAATACATTCTTTATAGCACAGCTCAGCCATAGTTCCTCTGCTTTTAATAATTTTTAATAAACATGTAAGTTTCCTGATGGGGCCAATCTCTCACAATGCTTCACAGAGGTGTTTTTCAAACTATGCTTTGATTTTCTGGTCCAACCCTAGCTTTCCCAGAGAACTTAAAGATCTTCGACTAAAGATGTTTGAAAAACACTGCTACAGGGCAGTGTTGAGAAGACTGTGGGCAATCAAAACATTTGATTGTTTCACACACCTTGTTTTTTAGCCTCAGAATAAATTTAAGAGGGTAACTAGTTACTCCATATTCCCATTTCCATCCTGTCTTTTGCAATAGGTGGAGCTCAGTACTATCAGGAGTTCCCACAGGTGGGTGATTTGGGAAATGCAGTTAGGTCTAGCTCTGATTTTCCTAAAACTGAGAATGAAGAAGAGGCCCATTTTTGTCTCCTTTCTCTTTTTTATCTTATGAACCTGAGAAAAGCC